GATTTACGTGGGATGTCCGGACCAGCTTGCGCGCACCACGACTAATCCTCACGGCCCACTGAATACCCTGCAAACCCAGCAAGCAGGTAAGGCAGCGCGGGGCTGACAGGCATGCAATGCCAAGGATCGAACCTGTGACAGTAAAAGGAGCAAATACTCCTTGCCACCGCTAGGCTAATGCCCTAGGTACTTCTCCTGCCCTCTTTGTTAATGCTAGAGATTGTGACATTGTCCAGCTCAGCTCCATTTTGTTTTTGTGTTTTAATGTTTTTGAAAAAAATTCAAATTTTTTTTTGCTTTTTTAAAAAAATTATTTTAATATATTAATATTAAAAATAAATTTTTAAATTAAAAAAATATATTATTTTGATGTATTTTTAAGTGAAAACATTTCAAAAAATAACGGTGATTATATTTTCAAACAATAATTTTTTTATTTAAAATAAAATTTTTTTTATATTTTCATATCGATCTAATGCGTTGCGTTAATGTTAAAAATTAATTTAAAAAATAAAAAATTTTATTTTAATATATTTTTAAATAAAAAATACTTTAAATTGCAACCACTACCACAATACTAAATATACTCTTTTATCATAATTTAAAATTATTTAGTTAATTAACATATATTATAATTTTGAATATATTCTACTAAAACTTTTCTCTTAAAACTTTAGTTTAAAAAAAAAAGTATAATTTATAATTTTTCTAATCCATTTTTAAAAAAAGCCTCGATTGAAATGTCATAATGCTAAACATATTAAAGTATAAAAAACCAAAGGGAATATATCTCATGTATGAAAGCTGTCTCAGCCACGAAATGAAGCGAGCTCTGAATTGGATTAGTCTATCAAATTGATGGAGGAAGATGTCATCTTTTGGGCCTTTTGTCAAGCCCATCAAGATAATCTAGCTTATGTTACAACCAGAACTTGCTCCCCTTGTGATATTTCACTCACTCATTTAGTCTACCACTAGTTTATTGTTTTTTTTTAAAAAAAAAAACAAAGAAAAATGCTAGCTTTGCTAGTGTATTTTCTATTTTTAAGTAAAATATTGATTATGAATTCATTAAAAATTTAATGTATCCAAAGAAAAAAATAATTTCTTAAATATCATGATAATGATATTTTTTGTTAACTTAGATTAACCCAAATTATCTAATCAAATTTATTAATTGAATTGAATAGAAATAAAAACACAAAAATTATTATAATATTTATTTGATTATAATAAAAAAAATATTGCTCAAACACTCTTAGTAGAATAACTTACTCCACTCGAATTTAACATAATTTAGAAATGAAGATATTTTAAATTTAATTTCTAAATTCAATTTTAAATAATAACTCAAATATGTTCTTAATTAATTTAGAAATTCAATAAATCTATTTATTTATTTATATTATTTTAAAAGATAATTTTTTTTAAAAAAATAAACCTGAAAACTAACAAACAAATATGCTAGGCCATGGCATGCACTAGCCTGAATTAAAAAGTGCACGGTAGCTTGAGTTTTTTTTTTTTTAATATTTTTTTTATTAATAGATGATAATTTATTTCATTCTATCATCATTTATAATTAAATAATCAAGCAAAAAAATTATTTTTCTCTTGAATTTATTTTCATTGAAAAACATTAAATTAATAAATCAATCAACTCAAAAGGTGTTTAAATCAACTCAGTGGATTAAGAGAAAAGTTACTTGTAAATAGAATATTAGAGGCGGATATAACCAAGTGTGTCAATGCAGCGGATTGTGAATTAACCATGCACAAGTTCAATTCCTGTCATTAGTATTAACCATGTACGGGCAGATGTTCATATGGATTTTTTTTCTTTATCCTAGAATTTACTTTAAAATTTAATAAAATATAAATAATAAACAATAAGACCCGGAAGCCTAGATTTTATTGTGTCAAACCGATGTCTTTTTTTACTTGCCATTTAAGTTTTTTTTTTTTCTTTAGATCCATGTAGACAACAAGATGAGATAACTCACACAATTTAATTTAAAAATCAACCTCAGCGAAAAATGAGTTAGAATTTTTCAAGAAATTTGGCAGAAGCCACAGCAAACAAAATAAACTAACAAGAGCTAGCTTAATTGGAGGCCAAATGGCGTGAGTTCAACATGAACCCAGGCACTACTTTTGCAACACCATTAGGTCCCTCAACAACAAAATCACAAATGCCCTCAGTTCAGTTTTTTGTCATATATCTTGATTCTATGAGACTTCTTCCTCACAACATGCCAATGAGCTTCGAAGATTCTTTTTTATCTACTTAACATTTTCTCCTTCTCATGGGGTAGCAAAATAAAGATTTGGGAGCGATGAAAAAATTCTGTAAGAGCTGGAATCTAAAGAAGCAATTGATGTTGACAACTTTCAACTCTAAAGGCATCGTCTTTCTCGCTGAAATGGACATGTTATTCACACTCAGCACGCAGACAATGAAAACTGCAGCTTCGAAACTGTCAATGAGCTTTAAGCTTTCAGCTTAGCAACGCCAGCTCAAGAACTTCTATGTCAGCTGTAAACCATGCCCTGCAAGGATAAAATAATTTGTTCAACTACACAACCATGGACTAGTGAAGGAAAAGGCAGAAAGTAGGGCTACCATATAACCAACCAAACTATCTGCTCGATCACACAAGAATGACTGAGAAAAGTCTGCCGATTTAGTTTACATTTCCAAATATGTGGAATTATTGATTGGCCAGACCATGCCAAAACTCAAGATTCTAAAATATAAAAATATGTTTGACCAACAAAAGCAGTGCATACCTTACTATGAATTATAGTTTCGCAAAACGAGCAATCTTAGAAAGCACTGTCCTTAAGCTTCGAATACCAGCTCCAGATTTTGAGCTCACCATCATCTTAAGTAAAACCAAATTAAAGTTACTTACATTATCACACATTTGAAGGCAAGTAAAACAATTTTAATCCGTTCAATTAAAAAAAAAATTGGTCATACCACAGGCTGAACAAGAGACTTGTTTGCCTTGAGGCTCTGCACAATTAAATAGGTAGACACTTGTTAGTCTTAAGAGTGTTCTAAACTTTAAGCAAAATTGTCACCTGTGTTTGAGTGCAGAATTCACCTCTTCAATTTGCATGGCACGACGTGCCACATCAATTGGAAACACAAGATCTGTCTTGGTCATTACAACCTGGTATTTAGTCTGGTATCTGTACATGATACAACAACATCGTTCAGTGTCTACCCATGTGGATATTACAAATTGGAGCATGCAAGGTAACATGCAATCAAATACTCAAGAATGGTAAAAAAAAAAAAAACAAGCAACGGATCGTGATTTACATACCTTTCCATCAAATCAATGAGTTCATGATCTCTTGGCTTCATACCCCATTTCGTGTCAATAAGAAGGCACACTCTTTTTAGATTAACTCTCATCGAAACATACTCCTTTACCTGCAAAGTTTAACAGTTCTTAAACAACAAGGTAAATGGCATATATGTGCCAATATAATTCCCTCTCCCAACAGCTCATAAACAAGTGAAAAATTAGAAATGTTTCATCTTCGAATAACCATGTCACCAATTCCCACATTGACTGCAACTACAACATCAAATTTAGAGCCAAATGATCTTGCACTTTGCTTTTAAGTCTCTAGCCTTGAGCATTTGTATTGTATGGCACATGAAAGTCAAGATATGGAGATAACATAATTGATCCTGCATTATTAGATGAATTGCATCAATGATGAACAACAACTTGTAATTGATCCTGCATAATGAATTGCATCAATGATGAACAACAACTCTGAAGGAAGACAAGACCTTTACCCCACTCTCCAACATATGAAAATGTGAAAAAGTGGGAGTGCACAGAAGTAGACATGTTCTGATGCCAACCAGTTGGTTAACTGACTCTATGAAGACAGACAGACAGCAGATTCTTCAAGTAGTGATTCTCACCTTCTGAGCCAGAAGAACCAGTTTTTTTTACGAAGAAAACAATTTAACCATTAGGATTACCAAACATTTCAGAAGTTGAGCAACAACCTCGTGTTTTTGTGGCATAAAAAAGCATGCCTAGTAATGGTAAAAGAGAGGGCCAGACAACAGTGGTTATCAACATAGTCTCATGTAACAGTTTCCAAGGTACAATAATTTCACAGAACTTAAACTCCAAAACATTCAGCAAGAGGCACCCAAAAGAACAAAAGTCAATTTCTGTGTGAACTTACCAATTCCTCCCAAGAATCCTTGACTTCTTCTTTTGCATAAGCAAAGCCATATCCAGGCAAATCAACCAAGCAAACATTTCCCAGCTCAAAGAAATTAATTGTCTGCACAAGAACCATTCATGTTTTAAAAAAGAAATACAAAAAAACAGATAATAATTAAAAAATTCCCATGGAAATTATAGCACCTGAGTGAGGCCAGGTTTGTCCGAAGTCCGCGCAACACCCCATTGTCTAGTAAGTGAATTGAGTAGAGATGACTTCCCGACATTTGACCTTCCTAGCAATGGTAACAATAATACTAAATGTGTCAAAAACTGCAGAGGTTGTAATTCATCACAATTTAAACCTTTTTTCTAAGAAAGGTCATTATTTATACTCCAAAAGGTCAGAGATAACACAATTATAGAAAACCAAAGGATTAAAAGACTGAATACTGAACACCATGAGTTAAGGTTTAAACAATGCAAGTAGCCATATTATAGGCATTTATGAAACCAGTAAATATTCGCAATTGATGGGATATGTGCATTTTCCATGCAATACTAACAACTGCACACTTGTGACAATGAAAACATAACTCAATACTTAAAATGCACATTGAGAAAAATAAGGAAAAGAAAATGGAGGTAATAAGCATTCAAAATAGTGATAAATTACACTCTACCTGCAAATGCAATCTCTGGAAGACCAGGAGGAGGGAATGAAGATGAGACCTTTGCAGCAGCAAAAAATGTCAATTTATTCCTAAAAATCTGTTACAAGTAGTTAGTACCTGCTCTGATTATAATTACAACAATAGAAGAAAGAGAAGTCAAAGGTTCAAGTAAATGTCCCAGCCATTTTCTATGACTAGATTGAAATGAATGGAATGGTTAAGCAATAGATAACAAAACATATCTTAAAGTGGATAGTTTATACACACATTTTCTTCTATTCGTTCTCTCTCAGAACTTGTAGAGAAGGGGATGTTATCTAATGGTGCAGATAGATCAGTGTTGTAGCCTGCTCTTTTCAGCTCAATCAAGCGTCTACGACCTAGAAACTGCCAACATAATTATCTTGAATTACAACAAAGGAAATAATATAAATAAATCAATTTTCCAAACATCTGAAGCTATTTTTCAAGCAAATACATTATCTTCTACAAAGGAAAGAATGGAAGGACTAGGTTGAATTGCACGGAATTGTGCATTCATTGACATTCCAGCATCTTTCTCCAATTCTTTTTTCCTCTCTTTGGCACTTTCTGAAAAGCATGTAAGAATGAATCACTGCTCATAAAAAACAGGAGGAAAAATTCACTGTAAAAAACAATGGAAGAAAATAAAGTGATTGAAAAATGAAAACTGCCCTAGAAAGAAGACTTCCAAAACTCAAACAAGTAAGATTAAAAAACAATATTGTGGCATGTAAGATATGATCTCAAAACATTTAATGGGCAGCAGTTCAGTTACTAAGTAAAGGGCATCCCTAAATAATTTCAGCTTAGGAAATGAAGAACACAAGACAGAAATGAGGATGGCTTAGGGGGTGATGTTCTGATGTTCACGCAAGACAAACTCCTCCACATACCCTTTTTTCCACACAAAGAGGAAAAGAAGAAAGCTATTATCAAATATATCCACCATGCAAGAAAACAATGAATCTTTATCTATGCCAAAGAAACTGAACAACTAGTACCATGGACATAAATCTCAAGTATCTTAAATAGTGTAAGAGCCTCGGGAAGCAAGGTCATGTCCTGCTTAAGCAAGATGAAAGAAGCTCACATTGTTTAAATTTTTTGACAGCAAGAGCAGTCCTGTGTTGCCCTGGCCTTATGATTTACACTTCTCTCTGACCTACTGTCCAACAAAAAGACAGACTAATAGATAGTAAGGATGGACTAACACATGTAAATAGCGAACATGGTAATCTCACTAATCCCTACTGACTCGAGAAAAGATTCAATTAAAATGATGAAAGAAGCCTCTTTAGAAAAGCTGAATCCACAAATTAAAAGTTAACATTAGTTATTGGCTTCTTTTAAAAAGCACCAGAGTTTCTTACTCCATGTTGCATATTCTCAAACCAAAGATGAAATATTAGAAATGGGTAATATGTAGGGAGGTAAAAGACCACATATCACAGGCAAGAATAACTCAATAAAACTCATACCATCAGAAATTATTCCATCATCAAGTCGCTTATTCGAGGTATCATATGGATCTAATCTAATCCGCTTTCTCTTATGTGGCTGCTCGTCCGCAATCTCTGAATCAGCAGGGCTTTTTTTGTTTTGAACACTTTTCTTGATAGAAACTGAAGGAGATACTTTAGCAGATTTGCTTTGACTGTGATCCAAGCGCTTACTTGAGTCATAACTACTTTTTTTTTGTTTCTTCAACAATGCATTCCTCCCACACTCCAATTTATCTTCCTCTTTCATTTTGGCACTCTGCTTACCAGACTCAAATTTGCTTTTAGTTCGTTTTTTCAACAAACAATTTCTGTCATCATCAAATGCATCCACCTCATTTACCTTGGTATTCCGTTTAACACTAGATGCTTGTACGCCAGTATCCTCAACTTTACGAGAAGAATGTTTTCTTTCAGATGTAGCAGCCTTCAATTTATTAGAAACCCAAATTGAGCGAAGAGGACCAACAGTTCTACTTTTCCTTTTAACAGAATCATCTGTCACTTGACTTTGCCTTCTCTTAGATAAAGCTTTGCTATTTTTCACCTTTCTGTTATTCGTTGTCCCCTGATCCCCATATTGGTCTGCATAAATTCGCTTCCTTTTCCTATCAGAATTAACAAGTTCAAACCTCCCCTTCCCATAAATCTCATGATCACCCTCTTCTCCACCACCCAAGCGATCTTTTGTACCTTTTTCTCTCGATTTTAAATTCCTCCGTGCAGCATTCTCTCCCTTATAAGACTTATTTCTTTCCTTAGAATTCTTCAGTTTTCCAACATCAAGTTTTAGTTTTTTATTAATCTTATACCTTAAACTTGCTTCTGCAGACATTCTCCAATAATTATTCAACAATCCGACTAAACAAGGTAAAACCCACCTGGAAAACATAAATTTCCACATCATTAGAGTGAAAAACCAATCACAAAAACATCAGAAGGAACCAAATATTCAGTAACACTTGCACCATTACAAAAGAAACAACCCCAATCCAACTATGCCTAATGCAAATAACTTAACATTAAATAACAAAAACACTGTCAAAAGCTCCATTGTTTAGCATTTCTCCAAGTTCTGAGAAACCAAACAGTGAGCTAACAACAACTATCATTGTTATTATCTTAACACAACAAAAATAGACAAGAACCTTAAGCATACAACAGCAAGAACTCTTCCAACTAAAAATCATAGGCAAGTTATCAAAGCACTACACTAAGAAGTGGAAATGAGTTAAAATACCTTTTCTTGACAAATTCTTTTGTGGATTCTCTTCAAGTTTCGAACTTTATGAGTTGTGTCTTTCATTTGCTGTTCTCGCTTATGCTGGCGCTCTGTCTAGACTATGTTTCTACCCTACCGCCATTCTCTCCCTCCGGAAAAGTAACAACGGTGATTGTGGACTTCATGGGCCGAGATTGTAAGAGACCTAGCTAAGGTTCCATGCCATATTCTCCTATGTTGAGCTTTTATGCTGCTAAGCCCACGATTGCAAATTTAATTCAGGAATCATGGCAAAAAAAAAGTTCTTTCCAAGAAAACCCTTGTTTTATGATAACCGGGAACACAATTGGGTCCCCTTGGTACTTGGAAGTGACGTGTGTGTTGTGATTAAAACTGTATTTTGTTTTAATTATAATTTTAAATATATATATAGATAAATAATATAGTTTTATATGGATTTTATTGAAAATTTTTTGATTAAGAAAAAAGTTATAGTTTATAGTTTTTCTTAACCATGTTTTTTTCAACTACAAAACACACACCTAATCTTAGTATAGTGATTGTATTGTTCAAATTGTCATCTGCATTTTAAAAAAGTAAATTAAAATCTCTAAAAAGTTAGTGTTTATGATAAAAGAGGTAAAAATAGAAATAATAAAACATATTTAGTTAAAAAAACGAGACATAGATAAAAAAGGTCTATCTTTAAAATAATTTTAAATTGAATTCTTATCCTTTTAAAGCATAAATGACAAACAAACATGTTTTTTGTATGCTACTATTTTTATCTCTTATATCTCAAAGTGATTAATTACTATTTTAAGATATAAAAGATTAGTTTTTATACAATGATTAATTACTTTTTTGAGATATAAGAGATAATATATATTCGCTAGTTTTTATGCAATAGGTGTACAAAAAATAGAAAATCATGTATAATATATACTCGCTAGTTTTTATGCAATATTGTTTTGAGATAAAAGATATAAAAATAACAGGTGTACAAAAAATAGAAAATCATGTATATATAGTTAACTTAGAACATTAATTAAATATGAAAATCAAGTAGCTAACAAATAGAAAATTAATTCAATTCTTATAGAGGAAATTAGAAATTCTCCACAAAAAGTATATAATAAAAGGTTGAGTGATTGAATCACACAAATGTAAAGCTATTTCACATATTATAATATTTTTTTATGAATTTTTAAAAAATTTAAGTCGTTTAAAAGTAAAGCTTATATATTAGGATCTTAAAAATTCTAAATATATTAGAAATAAGGTCTGTGTTAGATAATCAATCAATTTCTTAAGATTAATAATTTGATATATTCTTTCTAATCAAAGTGATTAGTAGCTTATATCTAGTGTCTAATAGGTTAACATGGCTAGTATTTATAAAAGATTTTTTTTATAGATTTAAAAATTTTCATATACTTAAATAAATATTTTTTTAGAAAGAAAAAATATAATAATATTTTAAAGAGTTAGACTCTAAATATATGTGTGCTAAAAATATAAGGAATAAAAAGATTATAAATCTAGAATGTGAAAGATTTATAGAATATTTATAGTTTATTAATTTTATATTTTATGAAGAGGAAGGGCTGAATAATTATTTTATCCATATAATATTTTAAATTATATTCTACTTAAAATTATACAAATTAATATAAAATACTAATAAATCATCATCAAGATTTTTAAAAACTATCTAAAAAGTATTAGATACATGTAAATGTAAGTTGCTCGAATCTATTAAAAACAAAAAATAAATTTAGACACAATTATAGAGGTCTATAGTTGTTGGATTCAAGCATTGCATGAACCCATTTGTTTTTTTGCTGTTCAATTTTTTTACCCCGTCAAAATTTGGGTGCATCAATTTTTATCCTCTTGTAAAGTTTCAAAATTTCAAATTTCAAATCTTTTCTTCCTTTGAAAATGATAACTTTATTAGGATGATATACAAGAAAGTAGTACGCAAATTGCCATGCTCATCGCCCATTTGAATGGACAAAGAAAACATCTCAAACTCCAACGCATGGGCTAAAGATGAATGCATAAGTGTATGAATAATCTCAAGCCACTTAAAAATTAGAAGCATTTTGTGTTTATTTTTGGTGAAAGAGAGATATTTGACTGGTCAAGATTTGAACTTCCCTTGTCTATCTGTGATAATTAAATGGAAAAAATTACAATTGAAAGTGTCAAAATCTTGAGCTTCCTTCATATGTTCTTGCCAATTGATAAAGAAATTTACACCAATTGGGTTATTTCCTTATGATTCACTCTTCTTTTTTAAAAAATCATTATTATACATCGATATTTCGATCCATGCTTCTTTTAGTTGTCACAAATCACCATCTATTTTTTTTTATTTTTTTTATTTAAAAAATCACCATCCATTTGATTCGCCGCCTTTTATTTTTTTAAATAAATCACCATCCATTTGATTCGCCGCCTTGTTGGGGGCCGGAAACACCCTGGTTCCCTTCACACATCTGCTTAATTAGCAGTCCAATTAATGATCAGTGATTACTAATTAACCAGCCTAATCCTAAATCATTAAGAGCCATTGCCATCTTTATCTTCAAAAGGGTGCCCTCTTTTTGTATAGCTCTGCAAGTTGCTAAATAATACTATAAGTAAACAAATCATAAATGGAATCATGGAAGCATTCTTCATGCACTTGATTACATGGCAATTAAACATATAAGATAGTGTTTGTTCATTATTTTTAAATAAAAGAAACGAATAAGGTAAAGACACTGATGATATAACTTTTATATTTTCTCTTTAATTAGAAATGATTGAAATCCAATTAAAATATATTTTAAATAAAAATTTTCCCTCTTCCCATCACTTTTATATCTCTTGTTTTCATCTTCAAATATCAACTAAACACAACCTTAGTATCCAAATTTATCCAAAAATCTGATTATGGATGATTGAAATTTTTAATGTAAGGATTTTAGGCTGATCTCCAGGTACCATGAACAAGAAAAAAAAATACTAAAATTTGAGGCGACGTACATGACCACAAACTTGAGCACATGGCATATGCCGATCTCGAGTGAAAATGGCATAAAAAATGGACCCTAATATCGCAGGTACAATGATTGAATCCACCGATGAACTAACCCATGAGGTAGTGTGGCTGCATTATTCATGCTAAATGAACAAAATCAGTACTTAATTAGTGGCCACCGATGAACTAACCGATGAGGTAGTGTGGCTGCATTATTCATGCTAAATGAACAAAATCAGTACTTAATTAGTGGCAATTATTCTTAGTTCATTACAGCTAAATTAGGTATCAAACTCCTTTGACCTAGAGCACAATGAACACCCTGCAAATGACAACAAAAAAGAAGCAAAAATGGTAGGTCCACTTGAATTGAAGCTTAAAGTGTTCCCAGTTTACCTGCAACCATGTTCATTGAATGGGATCTCTAGCAATTAATGTCATGTTCACCTAAAACCAATCATATGATCCAGATCATCCATCTGCTTTAAGAAATGGGGCTCTGTGTCTTCTTCGGGACCACCATAATAAAATCAAATCCCTCTCCAGCAACAAGAATCTCTCTACAACTTGGTTTCTATAACTTGGTTGAATTGCTCTCTTTTAGCACATAAAGTAAGAAGGAAAGTAAAACACCATTCCAAATTTCAAACCCAAATCTCGTTAGCTAAAGTTCTTTATGCCAAATTCAAAAACTTGATTGAATTGCTTTCTTTTAGCAGATAATGTAAGGAGGAAAGTAGAACAGTGCCATTCAAAATTTCAAACCAATTAAACTCGTTAGCTAAAGCTCTTTATGCCAAATTTATATATAGGAAGGTAACAAAACCAGCTAATTTCAGTAGTTCATTCTCAATTTAAACAAGGAAAGTAAAGTTATATTCTGTACTGGGATGAAAATAAATATCCATGAATTCAGTTTCGGGTATTATCCATACCCGAATCCAAACTTAAGTACCTCGGAACTATTATGAACAGAGATTACAAGTACAAGTAAATAGATAGCTTTCGTAGTTTTTTTTCCTCTTTTTTTATAGGAAAAATAATAGATTATTTAATAGATAGCTTTCGTAGTTTTTTTTCCTTCTTTTTTTATAGGAAAAATAATAGATTACAACATACATGGCAAGAATTCATTTTTCTGGCAAACAAAAGATCACCAAATTCCAATTAGCAGAAGCCTCGCTTTCTTGTTGATTAATCATCATTAACAGCACTATTAGTACTAATTAAGCCATTAAATATCACAGGCTTAAGCTTATTCTTCCAAATCTCCTTGTAACATCCAGCATCGCCACCATTCCTCGTAGCCTCCACAACAAACAAAGTATCAGTCAACCTGCGAATCTCGACCAACAGCATCAAATTACCATCTTGCCCTTCCATCTCCAGCCCCCATTCTTTCCTTCTCCTCACCCTCAACCTTTCCTCCTTGGCAAACTCCTCAGCTCTCTTCACCAAATCCTCCGGTGATTCGGTCGAGACAAATCTCTCTCCGTCTTCAACCACGTTATATGAATCATCAAACAGCCCTGATAAGTTCAAACCGGAGGAGAAAGATATGATATCGAAGGCATTCAAGCTTGTAGAAGCTAATTCCTCGTCTTTTCTCTCATCATCCTTGTTGAACTCCTCGTCGTAGAAATTAATTTCCTTATGCTTCCCTTGCTTGAACCAAGGATCCTTCAAGATCTCATCAATGGTGATTCTTGTCTCCGGATTCGTATCAAGAAGCCGAGACAAGAATCGTTTCAAATCGGTTGACATCCATTTAGGGCATCGGAATTCACCTTTGTAAATCTTTTTATACATGGCCATCAGGTTTGGATCATTGAAGGGCAAATAACCAGCTGCTAAGACAAATAGAATAATACCACAAGACCAGACATCAATCTTAGCACCATCATAACCTTTCTTTACAAGAATCTCCGGGGCAACATAAGCTGGAGTTCCACAAAGTGTGTGCAAAAGCCCGTCAAGTTGGATCTGATCTCTGACAGCACTCAGACCAAAATCTGAAACCTTCAGGTTCCCATTTTCATCAAGAAGCAAGTTTTCAGGTTTCAAATCCCGGTGAAAAACCCCCCGAAGATGACAATAACCTACCGCTGATATCAACTGTCGAAAGTATTTCCTGCTAAGATCCTCG